GGAAACCAAAGTCTTTGGGTTCCGGGGGAAGTATGGTTGAAAAGCTGAAGAAGACCTGGGGATTTTGAAATCTTCTTGCCTGTTTTGCATATATCAGTGAGACATATGTCATTTTCAGTCATACAGTGGACTGCTGAAAATGACTACTATTATTTAACAACCCAAATTTTTTATTCTGGAAGCAATCAAGCTAAATTAAAAGTGCTTATGCTATAATGAAATAAACTCCCCCAAATCCCTTCACCTAAATAAAATTAATGTTTAGGAAAACAATGCAGGAAAAATGAGGCCACTTATACCTTTCACTATTCCGATGCCACGAACTTGCGAGACAAACGCAGTCACCAATGCTAGGCGGCACCTCAACCACAGATGAATGTTGAAATATTCTCGGGAATTTAGGGAAATAGGATCCAAAAACTCATTATCATCTTTATTGTCAGTGGTCTACAACAAAATTAAAATGAGGGTTATCTTCTCATTTAATAATGGCAAAAATCCTGGCCCAATACTAAATGTAATGTAAGAGATGTATTCACTATGATTTAATAGTATCAGTTTTAATCTGAGAAACTATTTTTGAGCATTCTATACAATATTAAGAATATACAAATCAAATATAAATAAAATCTGCCATAATCTTTTACATTTTGCTTTTCAGCTTTTTTTCCTCTGTGAACCCATTTTTGAAATAAAATTTTATAATCTGAATTTTTCATTCTGAATTACATGTTGGCATTTTCTATGTCATTAAAGTTTTTGTAAACATCATTCTAAGGACTGAAAATGAATAAATAATATTGGCTGTTTACCATATGTCAGGCACTGTGTTGCAAGCTTTATCTCATTTAATCATCCAACAAGGCACAGAGGGAGTTGTGAGATCTAGAAAGGGTATCTATCTGATTGCTTAAACTCATTGTATTTTGGCAGAGGTGACATTGAAACCCATGTCTTTTGGAATTAGAGGCCATAGTCTGAATCTACTGTGTCCCACTGCTGGATTCTGCTCCTACTGTATCCAAACGTTGTATGATAATTAATTTACATCCTCCTCATTATTCATCACAAAGGAGCAGGTGTGTCCAGAGCTACTGTGAGGGAGGATCCAAGTGATTTTTTTCCAGGTGAAATCAATCATAGACACTTCAATTGGAAGAAACCATAAAATCATCTTAATTAACCCCATTTGTTCTAACAATTTCTTGCCAAGGCATCCCTGACAGCCCATCATCTTCTAACTAATCAGCAACACCTTCTACAAAAGAGCAGCTGTTTACACTAACCTTGAAGGGGACTGGAATGAGGGTGTTGTTGCTGTTGTTTAGATGCCCTGGGGTCAATTCCCACAGGGGGAGGAGAGTAGGCCATTCCTGGGATTAGAGTGAGCACTGATCAGAGGCTCAGAGACAGGATAGTGATTAGCATAGAAGGGCAGACTGAGTACTGGAGGAGTCTGGTATTTACATTAGCAACACTGAAACAATGTCCCTAAATACACCTTAACTCTCAAGGCCTGCATTTCCTGTTACTATTGAAATGCCAAGGAGCTATGGTTGTTATGTGCTATTGAGTGGGACCCGACTCTTAGTGACCCCTCCTTGGGTTCATTACAGAAGTAGATTGCCCAAACTTCCTTGCAAGGAGTAGATGGTGGGTTTGAACCTGCAGCCTTCTGGTTAGCAGTCAAGTGCCTTTAGGCACTATGCTACCACAGCTATGGTGGCAATGGTTAAAGCAGTCAGCTACTAACCAAAAGGTTAGTGGTTCAAACTCACCAACAGCTATGTGTGGAGGAAAAAAAAGGCATTCTGCTTCTGTAAAGTTTTATACCCTTGGAAATCTTATGGGGTAGTTGTACTCTGCCCTATGACTCACTGTGAGTCAGAATGGACCCAAGGGCTGTGGTTTTTCCCATTTATTTAAATGCCAAAGTCATTCATCTAAGTTAGGGTTTCTTAACCTCGGTATTACTAACATTTGGGCCTTTCTTTCTTGTGGGGGCTGTCTGTGCATTGTAGGATGGTTGGCAGCATCCCTGGCCTCTATCCTCTAGATGCCAGAAGCACATATAGTTGTAACAACCAAAACTGCCTCACCACAAAAGAACAGCTATTCCAGTCAAGTCCTCCTCATGGGAACCCCACGTGTGCCAGAGTAGAATGGTGCTCCATAGGGTTTTCAACAGCTGTTTTCTTCAGAAGTTGATCACCAGGTCTTTCTTCTGAGGCACATCTGGGTGGACTAACAGCTGGGTGCATTAACCATCTGTATCACCCAGGAATTCCAAAATGTCTTCAGACATTGCCAATTGTCCCCAGGGAGGTAAAATCACTCCCAGTTGAGAATTGTTGTTCGAAGTCCATTTTTAGAATTAGATTGCTTTTTAGCATTTTTATTGCTTTTTATATAGCAAAGAAATGAGTTTCTATGAACAATTAGTTTTGCTAATTTGTAATTATGTTAGATATTAGCGATTTTATTAGGAAAGTAAAATAAGCAAGGCTTCTGTGTGATGAATCTTTAGATTTTAATTCTATGCAATCCTGTATTGTTAAATTACTTCACCTTATCCAAGGCCAAGGAAATGCCAAAGAATTTATGACACTGGCTGTCAAATGGATTTGAGACTTTCAGTGTGGAAGAATCTAACTATCAGAAATCAAAGGAGGAAATAGCACAGGTGTGCTACTGTCAGTGGTGAAGTAATAATTCAAAAGTGAAATGAGGAGCAAATTTTGTAGAACAATTTTATTTACCAGTAAGATCAGACAAAGAATCTAGAGTAAGACACCTGGATGGGTCCCTGGATGGGACTTACATAATACTGCATCAAAGTCCATCAACTCACAGGTGAATTTACAAACTTCCAAAAAGAAAACTGAAGGACTTGACCAATTTAAACCAGTTAATAAATAGTGGAATGGGACTTAAATTCAGATCTTTGACACTGAGTCTAGTTTGTTTTCTACTTCACCCCTTTTCTTCATGCAAATAATGAGACAATTTCTCAGCATGCCAAGAGTTCTTATATGATAAACACTGTCAAGATAAACATTCACTTCATACATACACAAGTTCCTGAAGGAATGGAGCTCTCTGTGTCATCTTGCACTACCTTCTTTTTAAAAAGTTTTGAATCCTGGAGAAGTTTGAGCGTGGAAAACACTATCGCAGCACTAAAATAGAGAATATATTTTAAATGTTATTCGTATTATAAATATGACATTTGTATGTTATTTCCTAAGTCTCTCCCTCCAAAATAATCATGGGTAAGTGGCTCTAGAACTATTTGTCTAATTCTCTGTTGAAGCCCAGCATGTAGTACAGTGGGTGAGACATAGTAGAAACTCAACAAATATTTTTAAATGAAAATGAATAAATAAAAGAATAAATGAATGAATTTTTCTAAAATTTAAGCTCTAAAAGAAAACTTATAATTACTATTGACAATCCCATTAATAAATTGAGTACATATGTATTTTATATAAAGTATAATCTAGTTCTCCATTTTCTTGAGATTATACAACTGTGTTGTGTTATTCACTTAAAAACTCTTAACCTAAATGATTGCTTAATCAGTATCTAACATGACAGAAGGGAAAGGTACTAACTTGAGCAATTAGAAGTCAAGAGATAGGAATTTGCTTTGCTTATTGTTTGTTGCTCCATACATAAAACGGTTTGCATTTAAAACCATTATGGCCTCCTCCCCTACAAAATTTATTTATAATTGACATTATACTCTTTGGAAATATTTAAATAATATATATCTAAAGTTAGGAGCTCTGGTAGCATAGTGCCTAAGGCACTTGACTGCTAACCAGAAGGCTGGTAGTTCAAATCCACCAGCCACTCCTCAGAAGGAAGACTAAGCAATCTACTTCCGTAGTGACACTACCTCAGAAACCCAGGGAGAGGTCGCTATGAGTTGGATCCGACTCAACAGCAGTGGGTTTGTTTTCTTGGGTTATATCTAAACTCTATATACCAGAAGATGACACGCGTAGTGTCACTGTAGTGTTATTTCTAATAAGATTGGGTGAAAGCCAAATAGACAATATACTTCATATCTAATTGCCTACTTGACAGCTCTACTTGTGTAGGTAGTAGACAGGCACATCTGACAGGTTAGTAGCAGAGTCTCTTGCCTCCTTCTCGCTACCCAAACCTGTTTTTTTCGTTCATACTCTCCATTTCCAAAGCAGGAAATAGCACATACTGTCAATGCTGAATGAAGTACTAAATTAAAAAGTGAAACAAAGAGCAAGTTTTATGAAACAAAACCCAGAGCTCAGGAGTCACCTTTGCTTGCTGTCTTTCACACATACACCCCACATTCAATCCTTTTGTCTTGCATGTAACTTCTTGTTGTTGTTATGTGCCGTCGTCGAGTCAAATCCGACTCATAGCAACCCCTCCTTGGGTTTCTGAGGCAGTATCACTACGGAAGTTGGATTGCCCAACCTTCCTTCTGAGGAGTGGCTGGTGGGTTTGAACCACCAGCCGTCTGGTTAGCAGGCAAGTGTCTTAGCCACTATGCTACCAGA